GTTGGAGCTGATTATTCACCTGGTAGGTGAGGAAATGGGGTCAAGTATGACCTTAATTTACCAGTTTCCTACAGATTAGCTAAGAAAACACAAATATCTTCTACACTTCCAAGTAACATTTTTACTTAGGATTGATTTTAGACAATTCATGATGAAAACTTTTTCTGGAAAAACTGCGAAGGGWACGCAAAGTGGTGAATGACTGCCGAAACTTGAGACTTTAAAGCCAAAAGTATTAAAGCACCAGCTAAAATCTGCAAGTAGCAAAATGCTGTTTGTCAGCCAAAAGTATCCAAACAATCATTGTAATTGAAAATTAGCAAAATACTATCTAAAAGTATCAAAACTCAAACTATGCTAAAAAGAGCAAAATGTTGATAAAAAGCTAAAAGCAGCTGAAGACTATCTAAAAACTAAAAAGGCTAGCAAATAGCTAAAATTATTGAAAGGCTAATAAAAAATTGATAAGCCAAAAAAGTTAAAATGRTGGATGAAAATAAAAGTAGCAGGCTAGCAAAAAGTGAAGAGTAGAAAAAGCTAAAGATATGAAAATGCTATCCAAAATTTAAATAGCCATATAGCAAAACGCTATGGCCAAAAGTATCAAAAAAGATGGCTAAAACCAGCATATAAAAAGCTAAAAGTATCAAAAGTCCTACTAGATGTAAAAAATAGCAAAAGGTTGGCAAAAATAAATAAATAAATAAATAAATAAATAAATAAATAAATAAATAAATAAATAAATAAATAAACTGGTTAAGGTTAGATAACAGCTAAAAGTGTTGAAAGGCTTGTAGGAATATGACAAATAAAGAAGCTAACGGCTAAAAGCTAGTTATTGTAAAATGCTGAATAAAACCTAAAAGTAGCAAATGCTAGCAAAACGTGAAGGGCAGATAAAGCTGAAAGCCAAAGTTAGTAAAAGGCTAGCTAAAAGCTAGAAGTAGCAATAGCTTGAAATATCAAATGACCGGCTAGAAGCTAAAGTATCAAAATGATGGTTTAAAGCAGCAAATGTCTAGCAAAAAACCCTAAAAATAAAGATGTCAAAACTTTAAATATAACAGTAAAATTAGCATACAACAAAAAAAAAGAGAAATAACCTAAGTGGATTTTAAAAAACAATGATTTTTGAAAGAATTGAAGATATCTAAATGTGTTTCTAAGTTCAATCATTTAAAAAATTAAGTTATTTAAGCTACAGAAACCAACAGCTGCAGCAGCCGTCACCTGAATGAACTGAATGTTTTGATGTATGGCCAAAACAGCACAGAGTCTGCAGTCAGACTGCAACAAACAAAGAAATTTTAAAAAGCAGGAAAACAATAACATGAATGTTGTAACACTCTCACAAACAGCCTTCAGAACCTTTTTACTGACAAAGCAACTCATTTAGAGACAAGAAGAAGAACTATATGGAGCCCAACCAGTTCTCATTTTGATCAGCCATCTGTTGCTTCTATACTTGACAGAAAAATGTCTCCACAATAAATAACAGACAAAGCAGTTCAGCCAATCTAAAAGAAGCAACATAATTTGTCATTTTACACAGAGAAAGTGAAATAAACTCACCACCGCTGCAAKAAAATGTGAAAAGTTGTGAAACTCATTCAGAACTTGCAACAGAAACTCTTCAACCTGCAGTCTGAAACCATGAAGCAATATTCCACTAAATCCTCAAAACCTGGAGGGGAAAAAAAAACAAAAGTATTTCCTTAAAGTCCTACACTGTGGTGGTTGTTCTTCCCTTGTGGCAGCCGGCTGGTGGTGAGGGGTGCAGGACAGCTGTCAGTGACGCACGGTGGCGTCCTGCAGTGAAACTGGAGGAGCTGGTCCAGGTGAGACCCGATCAGGGCCGRTCCCACACAGCTGGTCCCTCCTCAGGCTGAAAAAAAAAACTTCCTTATTCTCAAAAAGTCAAATATCAGAGGAAATGGAAATCTTCTTATATATGAACATCTGAGATAAACAGAGGGAAATTATCTTAAAATAAAAAGCAAACAAATGCAACAAAAATTTAAGTACAAGAAAAAACCTGATTTAGAAAATTTTAAGTTATAAATAAAAAATATCAATATTCCTTTTTTTCTTGTCTTTTTCCTTAATTTTGAATAATAAATTATTATTAATTATTATTGCCTGCAAACAAAAGGCAAACGATAACAGTTTTGCATGTGTAACTATGTTCAAAGCCTCAAATAAATTGTTACCTGAGCATACAGAAATTGTTTTGTGAAAGAGAAAGGAGGTATAGTTTGATTTTATTCACAACAAGAAAGAGCTTTTGTATTTCAATTCATGACATCAAACTATGGAACAAGCTAAATGAGGAGCTAAAACAAAGTCAAAATTTAATACAATTTAAAAGAAAGTATAACAAGGGTGTTTTCATGAGATATGGTGGGTYATAGTACAAATGTGTTTAAGTAAATTGAGATAAGCTCACATGAGTGTGTGTGMATGTGGATGTATGTATATATTTAGGCATATGTCTGTGTGTGGTGAGTTCAGAGCAAAAAACAAACAACTTTAAAATGGAAATTTATCAATTTTAACATTCAGGTCCCTTAGATTTATGCGTTTATGTATGCTTTAGTGTGTCTAAAATATGCACGAGAATGCTTGAAATGAATAAGATTGTACAGGGGTAAATATAAATTTTAATCGTAAATAATGAATGGATTTTTGTATAGATGAATACAGGAACTCAGGGTCTGTTAGTAAAATATCTCATGAAATACTGCACAGATTTTAATGAAACTTTCATTAAATAATTATTAGACACACATCTACTAATTAACCTTTGGAGCCAATCTGATACAAGATGGCCACCACAAACAACTGATCTTAGAACACACAAACAATGCCATTAACTCAGGATGTTTTAGAGATATTACTCAAAGAGTTGGTGTGGTAGTAGCTGAGACTGATCCCCAAAACATATGAACACCAAAAAAATTTGCATCCGCTTCGAATGGGCTGATAACATCAGAATCCGCTGAAAATTAACCTCAATCCTTATTAAAAATTGTCATTAACAATTTAGAATCAACTCTGCCTGTTAGCAAAATATATTTTCAAACATTGGATTTAAATGAAACCTTTGGAAAAATTCTCATTGGATTTACCTCTATAACTGATAAACTTTTGAAGTCAAGCAGATTTAATCTGGCTGTTTCTGTTTGTGGACACTAGGGGCAGCATAACACAGTGTATTAACTACCAGGCTGCATTTGATTCTTTTCATCACCTCCAAATATCTTTAGCTTTTCAGTCTTTAAACGTTTGTGTAAAAATGTTTAAAATGCAACAAAAAGGTCATATGGGTCAATAACTAAACTATGAGTTATGTCACCTATATTTTACATCAGGACTATTTCATGTTGCTATTTTATTAGAATAAGTATTAAAAGTCGACAGAGCCAAACATTTATTTCAGTGTCGTTAGTACTATTTCAACACATTTARTTTTTAACAGGATGATTTATTTATGTTTTAGAGGTAAAAACCTCTTTGAGTTTGAATTATTTTTTTCTGTATTTTCTAAGCTGAAGCAACAGGTTTTTAGCTGTTTTGTCATCTGCTAATCAAGCTTTTCTGTGTTTTGAGTTTCAGGTTTTGTTTGTGCCAGATGTGAGCTGCAGCTCTGGCAGATGTTGCAGATCAGCACCAAAATTAAATCAGTTCTTTTTTGTGACAACCAATACGCCCTAACAAATTCGTGAATATCTGTCCACATTTTGAGCCTGGCCACCGAGAAAAAACAATATTATTTTTTTGAGTTCTGATTTTTTTCCTCAGAATTATCACTTTAATCTCAAAATTCAGAGAAAAAGTCAGAACTCAGGAAAAAAATTCTCAGTGGCCTCTTTCAAAATTTTGCACAAGAAAGAAAGAAAGAAATTTTAAAAACGCTACCGAAAACCTTCTTGGCAGAGGCAATAAACTCTTGAGCTTTCATTTGTATTTACATTTAGCCCTGATTTTTGTTATTATTGTAGAAGATGTTCTATATATTATAGTGCTTATTGTTATCAGTGCTGCAGATTTGCCCTACCTATTTAGGGGAAAAAACTATTTTAAAAAGTTTTATACATAAAGAGACACACAATAAATATCAAAAATATTTTAAAGTGAGTAGATATGAAACAAACAGCTCTTATTTCAATAAAAATTAAACACTGTTTGAGTTGTTACAGCATTGTGATTTTAAACTAAATATGTTGAAGCTTTTATTTTTGCAAGTTAATCTAACAGTGAGTCTTGACCATGACTGTGTAATTTAGGCTGTAGCAGCTGCAGGTAATAAATGGTAAAATCTATTAATATTAATAATAATAATAATAATAATAATAATAATAATAATAATAATAAAATGATTTTTAATATTATAGAGTGTATAAACTATCTAATGTATAGAAAAATNAATAATAATAATAATAATAATAATAATAATAATAATAATAATAAAATGATTTTTAATATTATAGAGTGTATAAACTATCTAATGTATAGAAAAATATCAGAAAGCTGTGTGTGTTATGGGTTCACAGAAAAGAAGACTTGTGTTATTTAAAGCTCCTCCATGTTTCCAGTTGATTGACAACGTAGTTGTCCAATCAAATGTCCCCATTTAGTTCCAATCTAGCCAATCGCTTTGACCTAGGTCTTTAATGTTACACACCACCTGGCAGGTGTGTTGAAACATTTCACCACCCAATATGACAAAACATTATCAGTTAGTTTAATTTTTTTAACCAAAGTGGGTTGAATTTAGCAGACACTTTGGACTGTGAACCCAAATTGCGTGGTAGTGAGTTTGTTTTWATGTCTAACAACATTATCTTTCAAAACTACATTTGTCAAACGCCTTCAATATGTTTTGGATAAATCAAGTGGCTTGTTACATTTGTCRGTGACGTTAAAACCCAAAACAAACACACTACTTGATAAATAGTTACATTTCTGCGCYTGCGCAGCTGTGACTTCGCTGTCCGTGGTCCTGCCTGAAAAGGCTTGCGTGAAAGACGACTTGTGGAGAAACTTGTGGGTTTTTTGGAAACTTAACTTGTTAGCTTTTTGTGTTTYAGCAACGATGGATAAAGTTAACAGACTCTTTAGTCACTTCTTGGTGTTATATTGATTTTAAGCTAAAAACACGAGGGGGAAGTTCGTCCGTTGTTAGCTACTTAGCTAGCTGCGAACTGAAAATGTTTGGTAAGTGTTTTGAAATGTAGRAGCATTTTGTACCCGTAATTACTCTTGTTTTTCATGTCTAAGACATTTTGAGTGTACACATTTAATATTACGTCGTTTCTTGGTGTTAATACGCAAACCTGAACATCTTTTTTTGACGTTTAAAAGTTYTTTTTTTCCTGCGCAGGCGCAGCTTAGACTGCGCCGTCCAGTGTTTTGTAGTGACTTGTGGGGAATCCCCAAAGAGACATGCGGACAGACTTATCACGGGTTAAGTTTAGTGACATGTCACCAAGGAGATGCCCCGTGAATCGAGCAGGAAAGATCTGTCCGAGCAGATTTAATCCTGTTTCTAATCTCGCCTGCTGCTGTAAAAACTCAGTGAGTAATGTGTGGGCTTTGTAGACAGGTGAGAGAGATGTAACATGGGCAGGAATGGACCAAAGTGTGACTTCAGGGATCCACAGAGTCCGTCATCATGTGGCACAGCAACCTGCATCAGTGAGTTGGCTTCTCCCAGATGGCAGTTCATTAAAAAAAAACACAGTTTAATCACCCCCACATAATCATCTTCCTTGTAGATTCCTCGGACTGGAGCTGAGCGACCGGTCAAGCGTGTGTAAAAGGAGACCCCGTCAGCCTCCATGGCTTTCTCATCAGACCCGTCCCGCAGGGAGAAGACTCCCGGGACCCACGGGACACACACGGCTGCTCGTAACCTCTTACGAAAGAAGGAGCAGCGCCGGCGTGGAATCCGATCCTCCTCGCCCATGGGTCGGGTCATCCTCATCAACTCTCCTGTGGATGGTAAGAAGCAGCCTGTGCAGAGCAAATTACAGTCTGCTGTATACTAACTGCTGCTTTATCCTGGTTTATTGGTGTTCTTAATGAATAAAACTAGACTTTATATTCACAACATGAAGSTAAAATACAACTAAAAAGCCTCAAACATCAACATAAAATAAAAAATATTAAATGATAGTTTTGTAAAACACAGTAAACCCAAACAGTAACATTTATTTAAGTATCTACAAAGAACTTGAGTCAGATGTTTGTCAGTTAATTAAATAAAAGACCAAATGGTAAATGTAAAAGTTCTTTAAAGTCTTAATGTAGTCTAAGAAAAACTACATGTGTTGTCATTATTTTCTCACCACATTTGTTTTTATAATCAATTCCAGCATTTGTTTCAGAGAGAAAAAAAAACTCAATACAAAATGCAAGCTCCACTCTCCTGCCAAATATGGTCARTTCTTCCTCCAGGATGATTAATTTCTGTTAACATAAACAAACGCGTAGCATTGTTTCACGTTTTGTTTAGTTTGTCTAAGCTCAGATTGAAGCTGTTGCTGTCTTGCAGATTTGTTACCACCATAAATCTAGATACGTTTTTTATTTTTATTATTTATTAAAATATCAAGTTTTCTTCAAATGGCTTTTAATTTGACTTGCATCCGAGCCTAAATTACTAGATAAAAAAATCCACGGGTAAAATATTTCTGTGTCAAATGAATCGTGATATATTTAGGTGGAGATGATAGCGAGGACCTCCACACKATCACTGTGGATAAGAGTTTGGACGGGAAGCTTGGGTTTAGTGTGCGCGGAGGCTCAGAGCACGGCCTCGGTGTCTTCGTCAGCAAGGTGGAGGACGACAGCACAGCAGGTGGGTGGTACTGCCGGAGTGTATGGATTCTGTTTGCTCCCTGACGGTGAGACCTGCTCCTGCTTACGTGTTGCTTTGTAGAAGAGGCAGGTCTGCTGGTGGGGGACAAACTGGTGGAGGTGAACGGCATCAGCCTGGAGAGCATCACCATGAGCAGCGCTGTGAAGGTCCTGACGGGCAACCACAGGCTGAGGATGGTGGTGAGGCGGGTGGGGAAAGTCCCCGGCATCCGCTATTCCAAAGAGAAAACGACATGGTGACAATCCTGTCTCTAATAAAATAATCCTACTAAATAAAATAGCTAATTAAAAAAAACATTTTCTCCTGTTAATTTTTCAGGGTGGACCTGATCCACAAACGTATGGTGGTGGAGGAGAGCGGGCGGACGCCTTCGGAGGTCAGCTCAGGCAGCGCCCTGCATAGGATCGTCCACCTTTACACCACCTCTGACGACTACTGTCTGGGCTTTAACATACGAGGAGGGAAGGAGTTCGGCTTGGGCATCTATGTCTCCAAGTAGGTCCACTGAAAACAGGAGGCTTCTAAACAAAACGTGGATAAATTTACAAAAGAATGCACAGGAAAAAATGCAGAAATGTAAAAAAAAAAAAAGTGTTGTACTAGAATTCCCGTAATTATCTCAAAACACCCCAAATACTTTAAATAAAGGTGTTGATGTGTTTAACTTTTGGGCTTTTAGGTTGTGTACTCATTTCAGGCAAATGTGATTTTTTTTCTGACAGTCTGAATATTACAAATCCATTTTTTGGTCAAATCTGACCCAGATCTTTTTAGTATTTGGTAATAAATCAGATAAATATCCTATGTTTTTCAATGAGACCACAGTATGAACAGTCATGTCCAACCTCATGCAGTTTAAATCTTGTAACTCCACTTATTCAGTTATGCAACAGTTGCTTCGTCTTTTTTCTTTTAATTTTCCATGTCCTGAATGAATGAAAATCCACAGAAATATATGATTATAAAGTGTGCCTCGGATCAGTATTTTAGTTTTAGCTCGTTGCTCCGTTTCATAAATACACATCGCACCAGAGCAGCCGACCAGAGGATGGTTCAAATGTAAACACTGAGCTTTTCAGATAATTATTTAATCTGCTCTGATTGCACAACCGCTCCAGAATTGACGTGCTAACGTAGCATCCATGTATAGCTACTTCTGTAAACAGCAAGAGGAATGTAACGTCACGTCATCTAATGCTGTAGAGAGTCCAAACTGGAGTTCGATGGAGGTCACATTTAAAATATAACGCTTAAATCAGATTTAAGCAAAAACTCTGAATTGAGCATTAAGACCTGCAGTGTGAACATTGTCTTGGTGTCTTATTTTCTCAGACTGGATCCAGGCGGTCTGGCCGAGCAGAACGGAATAAAGATTGGAGACCAGATCCTGGCTGCCAACGGCGTGAGCTTTGAGGACATCAGCCACAGCAGCGCTGTGGAGGTGCTGAAGAGCCACACCCACATCATGCTGACCATCAAGGTGAGGCTTCAACATTTTGTTCTTCATCATCGGCTACAAAACGGAATAAAGATGAGCGTAAACATGTCATGAATTGGATGCAGTAAATAATTTTGGTAAGATTAAGAAAACTAAAGCTGAACTGAAGCTGAAATTGAGGGCGAGCTGAAGAGGCCGTGTCATGTTCCTAAACCACTCAGCTCTCCCGTCCCCTCTGCGGTTAAACGACCCGCCGTCACATAAACTTCCTGACCCGCTGCCCGCCTTTCATCTTTAATCCTGCCACGCCTGAAGACCCAACAATCCTCTCTCTGCATGGTGGTCATTTTCTGTGGCTGCTCTGACAGCTGGCGTGCAGTTGTAATATTCCTCGCTGACTTTACTTGTTGCAGCTTCGGGTTTCYTGCTGTGAAAAATATCCAGGCCATGTGCATTATTCACCAGGCTGCGGGATCAGGTGCTGATAAAAGAAAACAAAAACTCTCTCATGTTAAAAAGGAACTATCCAGGGTTACTAGGAAGTTGTGATTTTATTTGAAGAATTTATTTTTGTAGGGTAGTGTTACTTTTTGTCAAATATATCAAACCCTATGAGAAACTTTGTATTTATTTTGGATGTCTGTGTCTGTATCTCCACAGGAAGCAGGTCGATACCCAGCATACAAGGAAATGGTGGCAGAATACAGATGGCTCAATAAATGTATGTAGTTTCTTGTTTGTGAAGAGTCTATTTGTTCGGTGTGTTTAAATAAAGAATCGTTTACGTTATAACTCAGTGGCCAACGGCACTCAGCAGTCTTCCTCCCAGGCTTCAGACTCCAACTCTTCCACGTCCTCTCTGTCCTCTGGGACTCCGGTCAGCTCTCTGAGTGGCCTGTCTCAGGTCATGTTCCCGTCCAGTCTGCCGTTCGGTTCTGACATGGTGGARGTCTGCATCTCCACGGAGGACCTTAGGTCAGACTCGTTTATTTATTTTTATTTCTCAGCAGAATTGCATAAAAGTTGGGTTTAACCTTTGATCTTATCATTGATCTGAAGTTTCTTCCTGGTGCAGATGTTTTTTTCATTTAAACTTGTTTCCTTTTTTGTGTACCAAAATGATTTATGTTTGAGTTGTTGCATTCAGATCCGAGTCGGAGCTAACTGAGACCGCCATCCAGACAGAGGGGTCTTCCCAGAGGATGTCTGCAGACACCACTCGCAGCCTGGGACCGACCACTCTGCTCAAAGACACGGCCATCCGRGGAGAGGAGGGCAGACGGTGGAAAGAGTCGCCCAAGACGGCCGTGCTGCTGGCGCTCAGCAGACCGAGCCGACCAATCAGCAGGTCGCAGAGCCAGGTCACCATCGCAGGTCAGCCCMAAGTTTACACAAAATATTCATAAAAGATTTGATGTAAACGGGTGAAAGCTGAGTTTTGAATGGCTTTGATGAAGTAAATAAAACTTTAGTTGTTAGAACTAAAACAATCGGAACACTAATTAAAGCTAAAAAAAGACACTACACTAGCTAAAAGCAGCAGCACCCTAGCTGAAAGAGAAAGAGCATTGGCTAAAGATAAAAGAAAAACACTAGCTTAAACTAAAAGAAGTAAAACACTAGCTGAAAGAAGAATAACACTAGCTGAAAGAAACAGGACATTAGCAAAGCTAAAAAAGAGAACACTAGCTAAATGTTAAAAAAAACAGAACATTGGATAAAGTTCAAAGAATAACAGAAATTAAAAGAAACATAACACTAAAAGCTGAAAGAAGCATACCACTAGTTAAAGCTAAAAATGCAGAAAACTATCTAAAAGAAACAAAGCACTAGCTAAAGCTATAAGAAGTACGCTATCTAAGCTAACAGAAAAAGAACAGTAGCTAAATGCTAACAAACAGATCACTAGCTAAAAGCTAAAAGAAGCAGAGCACTAGCTAAAGCTAAAAAGCAGAACACGTTCTAAAAGAAACAGAGCTCTAGCTAAAGCTATAAGAAGAACACTACCTAAGCTAACAGAAAGAGAACGCTAGCTAAAAGGTAAAAGAAGCAGAGCACTTTGATGTGGTTAGGCTAATGTAGGCCAAAGTATTCAGAAGTAGTTAGATTTCTGACTCAGCATTCATACAGTCTTTCGTCTTCTGTTGCTGCTCCGTCAGAGATCAAGCAGAAGAAAGAAAAGAAGAAGAAAGGGAAGGATCCGGAGGAGAAGAGCACCCTGCAGCGATCAAAGACATTCGTCAACCTGCTGTTCAGAGGAGGACGCAAGAGGGACGCCTCCAGCGGTCGCTCTAAGTCCCCGCCCACAGACACACCTCGCAAAGGTAACTGCAACTTTACTGATGCTTTTGTTTTACAGTATTTGTAAAATATTTTTTATTTATCCAAACATTGGAGCGCTGAGTAAAGCAATAGAAGATCATTTGTTTCTGTAACAATCATAACATCTTTAAAAACGAACCTCTTTAAAAAAGGAAACTTTTTGACTTCTTATGAATCCGTCACCCATTTGGCTTTACAGGCATCTGCAGGTCTGTTTTTGACCAAATTTACCTCAGCTTTAGTGTTGCTGTTACTCTGTATGCTACATAAACGGAAGATCAAAGACGCAAATGACGGACATCATTTTCGAAAAACAACAGCACACAAGCGTCCTATGGCGTGTATACAAGCATCGACCGTAAGTTATCCTAACCTAGCGCCATTCAGCGAAGAAAAGAACAGCAAGCTACTGACTGGCTTCAGAACCTCACCTGATCGGGTAGTAATTTCGGCCTATGTTACTGTTTTTCATCAGTGGACAAAAGACATTAGTGCTAAAGGCACGGATATAACAGACTCTGTTTTAACCAGTCGGAAACAACATTTAAGACTTCTGATCTATATTATATCCTGAAAAGGTTAGACAACCTCCTGTTATGTCAAGTCTGAACACTACATCAGTAAGAAAGCAAAAG